TTAAGAAATTCTTAAAAATTGTCTGAAATATACAGTTCATATAATTTAATACACATAATGAACCAAGAACAGTGATTAATTGGGAAAACATGTTAGTTTCATGGTTCAGGTGGAGTTTTAAAATATAAAAATTCCTTATAATATAAAAATTCCACAGACTAAGTAATAACTTCTTTTAAAAAGTATTTTAATTGGTTAATTTTCAAAGTAATTTTGGGTCTGAAATGTTTAAGTGGAAGAATAATTACAGAAACTTTTATGTTGCAGTTTTTCTGTAATCATTATATTTTCTATAGGTCAAATGGATACCCATTTGTGAAATAACACAAAATATGCTTTTCTAAATACTTAATTTTGGAAAAACTAGTAAAAGTAAACTAGGAATTTGATAGTAGGCAAATCTTAATTTTAAAGGCAGCTTCAGGCATATTTGGGCTGCTGGAGAAAGCCCTCACACCTCTGTCAGCACTTGAATGACAGCAGCATGTTTCATTTCTCTCAGTAGAAAAAGGAGGGTGTGTAGACATAACAATGCCTTAATAGTTTGGGCTATGATGACAGTTGAAGTTGTTTGGAAGATTTTAAAAGATTATTAATATAATAATGTATATAGACTCTCAAACACTTGCTCAGTTTAATTTGAGACAATTTCCAAATCCTTTGTAGATGCATATAGCATCATAAGCTACTTTGATTTATAGCTTCATTTGGAAAGCCCTGTCAATATGAAAAATACTGTTTTCTGAAATGTGGTATGTGCTTCTTAGAAATCTGTCATATTTCTTTTTTTTCCTATTGCTGATTTCTTTGGATTATCTTTTTCTACTTGCTCCTTAAGAGTTGGTATTTCCTTAGATTGAATCCTAGCATCTCTTCCCATCTACATATTCTAGATTATTAGGCAATTTCATCCATTCCGATGGTTTTCCCAGATGTCTTCTACTTGAATCATTATTCTCCACTCTCAGCCTATCTACCCAACATAACATCTCCTGATGTCTCAGGCAGTCCAACAGTGTATTCAATGTTAAGCTCATCTTTCTCCTCACATTTCCATCCGTGTCCCAAGGGAGGGGAAATTATACATATAGAAAAAGCAGGTGCTTTTCTTCCTGTTTTGCAAAGCAAACTGCTGAGAGGCCTGGAACTTTAATTTATACAAAATTAGTTCAAGTCTTCTAAATGTGAATACTCAGCTCTGAATGTGTTCTCTGTAATGTGGTGACCTTATTTTCTGAATCAAAAGTTAAGAGTTGTGGTCCAACAATATTGGAAGCCTGAATTTGTTATTATAATCATAGCACATTGCTTTTTCATGTCACTTTATTAATTTATAGGCATTATGGTAGACAGACACTAATAACAATACATATATAATGTAAAGTTGCAATTATAATAAGTATAAGATGTAGTATGAAGTACACTGTGCATACATACATGACAATGTGTAATTTGACCTAGTTAGGGAGAGCAGGTAATGTTTTTCTTGCAAGTGATGATTAAACTTAATGTGCAGGTTGAGGAATTCATCAGGCAGAGAGAGAATGGAAAAGTGCTTAATTTAAGGAAGGTGTGATAGCTTACACAAAGATCTGGTAATGGTGCATACTATGTGGGAGCAGCTATTTCTGTGCAAAGAAATTTGCAATCTTGCTAGATATTGAATTAGAGGAACCACGGGTTTCAGGAATAAATATAGCCAGGGCTTATCTATAATGTAATACCAAAAAGAAAAAGGTTTTGTGATGGTGTTGCTTCCACTCTTGTTTCCTAAAAATCAAAACCAGCACTTACAATCTGTGGAGAGTAGCTTTAGCGTTTGGACAGGTTCAAGCCTTGGACTAATGAGAGGGTATGATCCTCTTGTGTCAAAGCCACTTGCAAGTCCTAGCACAATTATAGCCAAAGGCTATAAGTTGTAAGCTTGACCTTATGGTCTGAACCTGTAGTCCCAGGAGGCTGAGTGATATGGACTTGATAGAGTTCAGGTGCATGTTATTGAGTAAGATTTGAAACCCACAAGAGCATTGTAAACATCTTGACCACGCTCTTTACCTTGTGGAAATCTGGCTATAAAATAAAGACTCAGCTTGAAGGCTATGGCACTGTCTCTCTAATCAGAGGGCAGTGTCCCACCTGGCCCCAGCTTTATTCTTTTGTCTTTCTTCTTTAATCCTTCACCGCCCCTCCCCTCCCTTATGTTCACTCATGGCTGGCTTTACAGGAGTGGCACGTATGGTGACCGAACAGGGACCTGAGTATGGGGTTAATTATGGTTGTGAGGTAAAAGGATGCTCCCATGAAGCATGTGCAGAACATGAAAGTAGGGTAGGAACTGAGGTTTGGTAGCTGCTAGGTGTAAAATATGGGAAATTCACAATCTCAGGAAAGTGATCTCTAAAACAATGTTCAATGAAGCATTCTTAAATTTCTTAAGTTTTGTCTAAGGACTATCTGCTGTGGTCTGTGGTTGATGACCTTAATATGAGTTTTGACTGTTTGGGGAAGTAACTTTTATTTGGGAAATGCTCTGATACAGAAGTGGGCCTAGATTATAAGCTCTTGCAGCAGTCGCATTGTTCATGGGTTTTGATTATCTTTGAGTTTTGAGGTGCTTTGGTAACCTGATAGCTCCCTGGAACTTTGGGTCTGTGTGGGACACCACACTTGGAGTTGGAAGTCTCCAGCTCTGCAGGACCGAGGGCTGCTCACTTCTGGAAGAGGATTCCATGCAGCAGTGGCTACTGTCCAAATCTGAGGACTCTAAAGAAAAATCAGACCCTCCAGAAGGAAATCCAGGGACACAACCTCGCCTCGATGACATCTTCACATCGACAGCATCTTTGAGAGGAGCCAGAGCATTGTCACAGACAGCAACAGCCTGAATGCCAAGGCCATCCAGTAGAGGCTCGCTGACCTTCGGCAGCTATGGGGCCTCCTCATTGAGGAGACAGAGAAGTGGCACTAGCGGCTAGAGGAGATGTAGGGGACCCAAGAAGCTCCTTGTCCCTCCGTTCAAAAGGCTCAGAGTTTCCCCAATGATTGTGATGCAAAAGAAGAAGATAATGAAGGCTACGCAAGGGACCGAGGTGCCAACATGGGGTCCGCTGAAAAATTAGCGACTGAAGCCCAGCAGATGGTAGAAAAGCCAGAAATGGAAGCTACTCCTCCACCATGTTTCTTGCTATACTAGCGTCAGTGAGCTGCCAGTTTTCTGTAAAGTCTTATGCAGCCAAATCTGAGGACTCTCTGAGTAAGATATACTCCAGCAGCAAAATAAACTTTCATTTTGTAGAAATAGCTCTGAAAACGTTAACATGTCTTGAGTTTGGTTTCTCTTATTGGTGTGTTGCATTGCATTGTTTTGTTATTGTTTTGTTAATAGCCAGAAATTTGTTCTTGATGTTTGGTTATGCTGCATAATTTGCCTAGAGCTTTTGATGATGTAAATGAAAGTGTTTAAAAACAGGAAAAAAAAGGGAGGGGATGTCGAGAGTGGCTACAGAGTTTGGACAGGTTCAAGCCTTGGACAAATGAGAGGGCACGATCCACTCATGGCAAAGCTACCTGCAAGTCCCAGCACAATTATAGCCAAAGGCTATAGTTGTAAGCTTGACCTTAGATCTGAACCTGTGGTCCCAGGAGGCTAAGTGATGTGGACTTGATAGAGTTCAGGTGCATGTAATTAAGTAAGTTTCAAAACCCATGAGAGCACTGTAAACATCTTGACCATGCTCTTTGCCTTATGGAAATCTGGCTATAAAATAAAGACTCAGCTTGCAGGCTGTGGCACTCTCTCTAATCAGAGGGCAGCATCCCACCTAGCCCCAGCTTTATTCCCTTGTCTATCTTTTCTAACCCTCCCCTCCCCACCCCCGCCAGGTACACCCATAATTGTGCTGACACAGCACTGTAACCACTGCCCTGATACCTTTTGATAAACCAGGAAATAACTAAATCCCAAATAGTAAACTTCAAAATCTTTGCTTACATTTTAAGTGATGTATTTTTTAAGTGCATTTTTTTACTATGAAATTTAATATTCCATATAACCTGTCTTTGAGAATTAGGGCAAACTATGGGAATTCTATTAGACTATAAAGTGTCTTTTGAACTACACTGAAGAACTCTCTGGTCTGGCTATTCTTTAGTTCTGTTTTATATGTATACTAAAGGTCAAGTGCACAAATTTGTGCACCAGTGGAGTCCCTTGGCTTGGCCTGTGGGATTGGGCAAAACTGGTTCTCCGACATCCCCTGATGGGTCCTGGATTTCAAGAGGGCACAGGCCAAACCACGGGACCCATCTGTGTACGATTGGGGCTGAGGAGGGATGTGGGAGGTTGGCCAGCTGGGGAGGGACCTGGGAGAAATACAGGGTCTGTCCAGCCCGTCTTTCTCAGTCTCAATTGGCAGGACCGCAGCAGCAAGCTATCCTACCAGTCGGAGCATCTACCCCATGGTGGTCAGTGCATGTCATAGTGAGTGGTTGAGTGTCCACAGCATATCATTAGCATATTACGCTTTGATTGGTTGAATAGCTGACCAGATGACCAGACACTTAGAATATTAGGCTTTTATATATAGGATGTATCATCCTTCAAAGATAGTTTTTTTTTTTTTTTTAAATATATTTTTATTGATTTTTCAGAGAGGAAGAGAGAGGGACAGAGAGCTAGAAATGTCGATGAGAGAGAATCATCGACCAGCTGCCTCTTGCACACCCCCTACTGGGGATGTGCCCGCAACCAAGGTACATGCCCTTGACCGGAATCGAACCCCGGGACCTTTCAGTCCACAGACCGACGCTCTACCACAGAGCCAAACCGGTGCCGGCTCAAAGATAGTTCTGATGTTTGGCCCTCAAAACATTTTTTCATCTGCTCTTACCCAATTCTTAGAAAAGAAATTATATTCCAGGTGTAGGAAATTATTTTCAGTGTTTTATAACTTCCTTATAGTCTTTTTACAAACTAAATTGCTCTCTGTTTTTCTTTGCAGAAAGGGCTATTGCAAGACATGAAGTCCGAGAAATTGAGCAACGTCATACAATGGATGGCCCTCGACAAGATGCAGCTTTAGATGAGGAAGACGACATGGTGATCATTTATAACAGAGTTCCCAAAACCGCAAGCACCTCTTTTACCAATATTGCCTATGACCTGTGTGCAAAGAATAAATACCATGTTCTTCATATCAACACTACCAAAAATAATCCAGTGATGTCACTACAAGATCAGGTAAGCACAACTTAAGGAATGCATGTTGTATCTCAAGGGACAAAGCATTTTAAGGGATATGTGTGCTGATCGCAATGAATTGTAATCTGTTGGGGGAAGGAATCAACCAAATTCTTCTGTAATTGTACTTCACATTTCCTTGCATTTAGTATATATTCAAATATATGTGAAATAAATGAATTAATAACTTGAATTTTCTAAGATAAAATTGATGCTCTTTAATATGGTATTCTTTTTTAAATATACATTATTGTTAGCAAGATATTATGCAATAAAACATTGTATTTTTTTCAACTTATGATACAGAAATCTTTATCTGATGAAAACCTATATTCTGTATTGCTCAATTTTATGAATTTCATATTATCTTTACTAGTAATTTATGTAAATACTAGAGGCCCGGTGCACGAAATTCATGCAATAGGTGGATCCCTCAGTCCAGATTGCGATGGGGTGCAGGCCAGGCCAAGGAACTCCACTGGTGCATGATTGGGGCTGGGGAGGGACATGGGAGGTTGGCCAGCCAGGCAGGGACTGCAGAAGGGCTCCAGGGCATGTCTGGCCTGACTAACTCAGTCCCGATTGGCTGGACCCCAGCAGCAAGCTAACCTACCTGTCAGAGCATCTGTCCCCGGGTGATCAGTGCATGTCACAGTGGCCTTAACATATCATTAGCATATTTCTTTGATTTATATGTAGAACAGATGACTGGACTATCAGACACTTAGCATATTAAGCTTTTATTATTAGGATTAGTTATAAATGTGTGCAAAACAGGGATTGTGGCTTATATTTTACCACAATTTTGCCTTTTAAGTTGTCAGGAAACTTTAGATAAACAGATGGATAGATAATTATTTGGAATAGTTTTAAGAAAAGTGGAGGAAATTATCTCATGAGATTTTCTCATCTCTTATCAGTAATAGCACATATTTTCTCCACCCCTGGAGTTCTAATTATAAATAAAGTAGAGGCCCAGTGCATGAATTTGTACACTATTGGGATCCCTCGGCCTGGCTGGTGATCAGGGCCTATTGAGATGGTCTGCCGGCCCTGGGGAAGGTTGGCTGTGGGAGCACACTGACCACCAGGGGGCAGCTTCTACATTGAGCATCTGCACCCCTGATGGTTAGTGTGCATCCTAGCAACCAGTTGACTGGTGGTTCGGTCATTAGGTTGCTTAGGCTTTTATATATTTCTATATATAAAAGTTCTTCCTACAAGTATTAAAGAAAATGGGTATTAGGTTCCATGTGAAGAAAATATAATATTTGAAATACTATATAGGATTAAACACCATATTGGGGTAGCCTTATTAGGAAAGTATTTGTGACACATAGTTAGAATGTTTCAATTTGAAAATATCTGAACTTGTTTTATTGCAGAATTGACTTTGTTATTCCATTATTTAGCATTTCATAACCCTTACTCTGACGCAAGAGAATAACATTGACACCCAAGGTTAATGTTTGCTTTCTTGCTAGAGAGCTGTTTGTAAAAGTCAATAGTATATGGAATATCATTTCTCCATGTAATTCTTGTCTTTCTGCAGCATCCACAATTACTCTTTTTCATAGAACCAAAAATCTACATCTGTCAGCCAAACCAAATAACTCCATATAAATTGGAAGGAACATGAGCTTATTTAGTTAAGTGGGTCATAAAACTATTCATTATGTAATATTGTGTATCTAAAGGCAAGTATACTAAATAATCAGTTTTTATACAGCATGTGGTATATTTTAAATCTATTTGCATGATTGCTTTTCTGAATGTTTCTTGGTTTAAAAGGAACATTTCTTAATGCTCATATAATTTTAGATTTTTCTTTAGTAGTATTTTTTTTTGGAAGATAAAGTTAGCTTGCTTGTTCAATTTTTAGAATTGTTTTGTGTACAGTATTACAGAGTTCTCTGCAGCTATGAGATGTCTGACAATGCATCTACCATTTTTTCAGGAAATATAAATCTACAGAAGCTTACCACATATGACATTTATAGGCATCATGTAGTGATACATTTTCCCAGTTGCATTTGATTGAAATAAAACTTCTGTTTCCCTTTCAATAGTTTAATAATAGAGAAGGGAAAAAAAGAAAAAACACCTAGCAGAAGAGAAACATAAACACTGTATTAAAAGCAATTGGATCATATAATGACCAACTCTTAAAATATGTGTCTGTGGGGAGAGTAGAGGAATAGTCTTAATCATTAGCCACATACTTCAAAATGGCAGCTGGTGGCTGAGAACCTGCTCTTAATTAGGAATAGCTTATACACAAAATGTTCTCTAATACGCCATATCTAAATTACTTACTAGTTTCTGGTTCTGTATAGAAGCAGTTGTTCAAACAAGTTACAGTTACTGCTCCTTTCTCTTAGGTAGCACTTTTATTTTATATTCAATCTAGTAAACTTTATTTAAATGTAAACTTCTAAATTATACTAGATGCTTTGAAAATATTTTTAAGTATTCTCTGAACCCTATTTTGCACAACATAATTTGATTTTCATGCCATATTTTTGTTTTTGTGTACTGTTCTCAACTGCTTTATTATTCAAGTAGGAATTAAATTCTTTCTTCTCTGAGAAATAGTTACTAATCAATACTTGACTGAAGTGAGACTTAAAAGATTAGATTTTTATTAAATATGCCATTGTTTCAATCTTTCATTTAAACCCCAGTTTCTCATAAATAAAGGTGACTATTCCATCCTTTTCTAACCTCAGCAGTTCAGTCTGCCTAATAATAATATCTGCAGTTAGCCCTAGCTCTTTCCCAGATTTATTTTGTACATGATGTACTAGGTATTATGCTAAACTGCTTACATGTGTAATTATTTCTCTCAAAAATTTGAGAGGCAAAGCCCAAATATTTATAGTCTAGTATAAAATTATTAAATGAGTTGTTAACTCTCCTTTTAAGTTTTCATTCATTGACTATGGAACATATGCAGAGATTATGCTAAGGCTTGGAATAAAAAGCAAGGGCATATCTTTTAGAGAACTTATTTATAAGTAGCCTGGTGCATGAAATTCATGCACGGGGGGAGAGGGGTTGTCTCACAGCTTAGCCTGCACCCTGTCCAATCTGGGGACCCCTTGAGGGATGTCCAACTACCCATTTAGGCTGGATTTCTCCCTGCTGGCCTGGTCACCCCTAACTTGTCCTCCCCTGCAGCCTGGTCATCCCTAACTGTCTTCCTTTGCAGGCCTGGTCCCCACCAACTGCCCTCCTCTGCTGTCTCAGTCACCCCTAACTGCCCTCCCCTGCTGGCCTGGTCCCCTCCAACTGCCCTCCCCTGTAGGCACTGTCTCTCCCAACTGCCCTCCCCTGCAGGCCTGTTTACTTCTAACTGCCCTCCCCTGCTAGCCCAGTCCCCCCTAACTGCCCTTCCCTGCTGGCCTGGTTGCCCCTGACTGTTCTCCCCTGCAGGCCTGGTTGCCCCCAACTGCCCTCCCCTGCAGGCCTGGTTGCCTCTAACTGCCTTCTCCTGCTAGCCCGATCCCCCCTAACTGCCCTCCCCTGCTGGCCTGGTTGTCCCTAACTGTTCTCCCCTGCAGGCCTGGTTGCCCCCAACTGCCCTCCCCTGCAGGCCTTGTCCTTCCCAACTGCCCTCCCCTGCAGGCCTGATCACCCCCAACTGCCCTCTGCTGCTGGCCATCTTGTGGTGCCCATCTTGTGTCCACACGGGGGGCGGTCATCTTGTGTATTGGAGTGATGTCAATTTGCATATTACCTCTTTATTATATAGGATTTACTTGAGAATGTAAAATATAGACAGAAAATATGAGGACTGTTCAATGAAAACATCAATATATAGTGTTCTCACCAAAAGGTTTAACCAAAAATATGTCTCACCCAAATGTTTTACCTGTATCTTATCTTGAAGTAACAGGTCCATGTTGTAGAATATTCTCTAGAACAACTGTTCTGAACTCTTCTAAAAATGTCAGTGTTGTGACAACCAAAAAAAGTCAGGGTTTGTTGGGGGTGGGATGGGATAATCTTCTCTACACTAGAGGACACTAAGGAGACATGAAAACCAAAAATAATGTGTGATCTGTTATTGGATCCTTGATCAAAGATGCCTGCTATTTGCTTTCCGACAGTTCAGGAAAAATTGTGTGTGTGTGTGTATCTACATCTATATCTATATCTATATCTATATCTATATATATCTATATTTATATCTACATCTATATCTAACTATATATAGGTTCTTCCAACTTGTCTATAGATAAGGAATTTTTCAAAATTAACAAGTTGGGATAAAATAAGAGAAAGAAAGATAAATATTTGAAAACATAAGGCATGAGAATACTAAGTAAAAAGAATGAGGTAGACTCAGTCAGGAGAGGTATGTTTTTGAGATGGGCTTTACTCAGTTAATAGACAGGAATTGCCAGGAGACAAGTAATCAGTTGTTCTAATTGTTTACTCTGCTATCATAAAATACCTCTACATTAAAGAACATATTGTCTTTAAAGTAACAATGTCAAATTGTAAGTGGTACCTGTCTTTTATGATATTTCTTTTTTTAAAAAAATGATTACCCTTTTAATATATATATATTTTATTGATTTTTTACAGAGAGGAAGGGAGAGAGATAGAGAGCTAGAAACATTGATGAGAGAGAAACATCGACCAGCTGCCTCTTGCACACCCCCTACCCAGGATATGCCCCCAACCAATGTACATGCCCTTGACTGGAATCGAACCTGGGACCTTTCAGTCCGCAGACCGTTGCACTACCACTGAGCCAAACCGGTTTCGGTTTTTATGATATTTCTTAATTCTTTTTTGTTCTCATATATTTAGGTCTGTGGCTGTATTTTACCTCTTTCTGTAAGACATTGAAAATATGTAGAATTTGCATTCTGTGTAGTACAACATAGTAATTTTTTGTTTTTTTAATTCAATTCACCATTTAGCCAACTTCTGTTCATTTGCATTGGATCTTATGGCTTGATATTAGTTGTACATACTGTTTTTTCAGC